CGGTAATGGGCCACAATAATCAACCACATTGTATATTGACAAAATTAAATTAAATTAAAAATATTCTGTGGGGCCGGCCCGGTGGCGCACTGCTACAGTACGCCGCTTGGGAGTGCAGCGGCGCTCCCGCCGAGGGTTCAGATCCCACATACAGACTGGTTCCCGCTCACTGGCTGAGCGATGTGCGGGAGCAGGTTTTGGTAATGGGCCGCAATAATCAACCACATTGTATATTGACAAAATCAAATTAAATTTAAAAAATTCTGTGAATAAAATAAATTTGCCTCTTTTCTTCCAGCTATTGTTTAGGTTCTAAAATTTCTCGTATGTTTTTATAACTCTTTATGAATACATTTCTAAGTATTCATTTTTATGCCATCAGTTTTAACTAAATCAACCTATCTATAAGTATGAATGTGTAAATATTATATTAGTCAGCTTTGGCACAATAACGGTTTGTAATAAGCCATGCAAAAACTCTGTTGATTATCACATCAAGTATTTAACTTCATGTCCAAGTATTTAACTTCATGTTCATATAACAGTCATCTGGCTGATCCGAGCAGGACACTGAGCTTATATCCAGCCTACGGACTGTGTTTGATTTGGGAGAAGATTGAAGGAGCAAAAAGTAACCAGAGCATGAATTTCTGATAGCATTTTTCAAGAGAGAACAAAATTCCCAAGCGTAGCTACAACACAAATTTATGTCCAAACACCTCCAGCACAGATAGACGCACACAATTTTGATTTGCTCTTTGCCTTGGTAATTTCTCAAGTTTCTAAACACTTTACCACACTTAATTTTTCAAGGTANAGCTTTCTACCTTAGGCAAGTTATCTCCTTTCATACCCTTTAAGCCTCCACTGAGATAACAAAATATTTTCAGGTGAGCATACTCATTTAGTGGGTGATTTAGAAACAAGGATTACAAAGAAAAATTCCCTAGGCAAAGGAGTTACTATATTTGTTCATGAACATTAATTTTTATTGTGAATAACCAGAGTCATCTTATTCATTT